AGGCCAGAAAGCTGTTTCACATTTTGAGCTGACTTAAGCTAACTTCCAGTCATCAAGTACAGACATTAACTCCCTCTGAAAAAATCTTAAAACTCCAGAAGCCAGATTACGATGCCTTGTAAGTAATCTGACAGTAATCCCACATTATTCTGTACTATGACATCTTCTAAATTAGGTAGCTTCTGGATTTTATGAATTATGCCAATTTCAGTAGACAAAGAGTATTCCTGAAAAGTTAAGAGAGGAGGCACTGAAAAAGGGGCCAGGGCTAGTTCTAATGCTAATTTATTTTGCTTTGTAAACTAGTTGTGAGGTCCGATGGTGGTGGTGGGTTTTTTTTTTTTCCCCTTTCCTGGGCTACATTGTCTGAGGTTTTGAGGCCTATCTGTCATATTGAGGCAACAGACCCTTTCAACACTTCTCTTTGCTTTGATATGCAGTCTTGTCTCTTCCTTCTCCCTCTTTTCTTCAGGAGTTATATTGCCGGAAAGGGTGATGATTTTCACAGTAAATAAAGAGGCCTTCTCCCAGCTTTATTGTCTTCAGAAGAAATGCTCTGTGAATTTTATGACCAATGGGAAAGCTGTTCCCTTCCCCCAACTCAAAACTTGGCCAGTCACAAAAATTGCTAGAGTGGGTGTGATAGAACAGGATTGTTAAGCTATATCTCACAAAAAGTTTTCCAAGTCTGAAATGTCTTACTTCTTGTTACTCCAAAGGCACTCTTCAATAGTCACTATTTGCAAAATAGGTTTTAGACAAAACTCACTGTTCTTAAATAGCTCATTAAAACCAGGAAATCCACTCCCCCAACACAAAGGCAGTCATACTCCAAAGGTAGCTGCTTCAAAGCTCTTTTGTTTCATTTTCTTCCACCCAACTACCACTAACCTCTCCAACCACTTGCAATTCTGTAGTATAACTGCCCATGACAGACCACATTTCCAATGAAACTGACGCGATATTGCTGATTAAAATGATAATGTCACTAACAAAAGATTAATTAAGATTGTAGAAAGTTAAATGTTGGTAATTTCACTCGCCTAAGTGAGTAAAATACACAGGATTTGACTAAAGAATTGGATTAAAATATTAACTTTTATCATTGCATCATTAAATTCTGCCATTATCTCCTAAAGAAGTCTGAGAAGTGAAGAACCTCCTTCTGCTGTCTCTGGGGTGAATCCATTAGTCCTACCTCAAATTTTACTCAGGTAATACTTCTCCTTGAAATAAAACGCATCACTCTAAATAAAACCAGTAGAAGGTCTCCAAGATTTGGCTCAGAATGGAGTAGAGTAGATCTATTCCATCTAACAGATGGAATTTAGAGGCTAAAGTCCCAAACTGTTTAGCGACAGGTTTTGTTGCTGCTGTTTGTTAACTTTGGCAAATAAAAGTGTACTTTCCCTTTGAAAGGAAATGCCATATGCAGACTAATTCCAACCCAGCATCCAACAAAGGCATTAGGAAGACTCTCACTGACATCAATGAGAATCTGGGCAAAGGCCTAACAGACTAAAACATGACTCTGCCAGAACTAAAAGTATCCTCTCAGAAGACCGTGGCAGATCTCAGCTTCCACTGTCTGTTGTCTCTCACAGAGGGTATTACTCTACACAAAAAATCAAAGTATTAAAGACAAGATTTATGTGACAAATCATAGAGGATTTTTCTCAGATTGTTGTTGATTTTTAGGAAGGAAATGTTCTCCTTTTGCTTTTCTACTTTTTAAATTATTCTCTTAACTTACTTTAAAGAAAGAAATTAGATGTGAAAGCTCCCAGTCTTCCTTCAAAAAGAAACCAGATATTATCATTCCTACTGAAAATACACTGAAAGCTACTCATACGAAAATAAAAGATTTTATGGGAGAAAGTTCTGTTTTTCACATACATTTAATTTCTTCTTCAGTTTTAAAAGAAAAAACACCCAACCCTCTCCTACTCCGATAATAAGGGTTTAAGCACTTAAAAGCAGAAACAGGAGGGTTTATCTTGAAGTTTACCACCTTGTTTTGGCAATAGAAGAACATTTGATATTTGTCTATGGCTTCTGAATGAGAATAGAGTTCAAGATAAGATCACCTTGTTGCTCTTTTGTGTACTCCATCTTAACAACACAAAGGAGACTAAGGAAACATTTTAAACATTTTGTCCCATAGAATGACCCCAAATTCTCCTTTAAAGAGGAAAAAAACCTAACCAAACCACCGGCTAGAGAGATCAAAAGTTTAAAAATATCAAGTGAGGCATTAAAGCACCACAGGTGACCATATGTTAAACAAACAATTTACACTTCGAATGAATGAAAACAAATGTCCTAGTATGTATGTGGACTGAACTGAATAACTGCTGTTCTTTAGAGACTCTAAAATTCTTACCATAATGTTGTAAAATTAACAGCACTTTTCACTTGATTATCAGGGTAAACATAATTGGGCTAATTCTGCTTTCACTACGGTTTCCCAATGATAGAAATGCTACTGAAATGGGAACGTCCTATATATCTGCCCCAGCCAAGCACGGCACAGCAGAGCCTTCACGGGGAAGTTAACAGATTTGAGTCAAAGTGGTTTTGGCTGCACGGACTGAGCAGAAACCCCAGCGTAAGGAACAAACACAAACATGCACACACCTATTTTCCCTATTGAAATATTCCAAGCAAACAGACTGATGGCCTCAAGACAGTTGGAAAACGCCCACAGCGTTGTAAACTCACTATTAATGCATAGTGCTTTTCCAGGGTTGAACACCATGCAGCATGGAAGCTCAAGGACCAAATTCTGATGTAGACGTCGTTCTACAAGCCTAGGAAGAGTCCTAGAGAAACTCTGTCACACAGGGTGAACAAGTTACTATCCACAACCAGGGGTGTAACAGTATTTGTTTACAGCATTGCCTAACTCTGTACCTAGGATCTATACAACCAGTACAAAAAGGATCAGAGCCTGAAGAACCTTCTAATGCAAACAATACCTTGGTGAGCCACAAATTCTTACAAGTAGCAAAGTACTGACTGTTAAATGCTAGAAGAGAAAAAAGTGACATGGCTCTCAAGCCATTACCATAGAGTGTCTACACCAAGTGGAAGGCAATGTTAACTTTAAATATGTTCCGCTATTAAAACAAAGAGACATTATGTCTCCCTCCACAGATGGGGAAAAAAACCCATTAACTTGAGAAACTAAATAATGAATTAAGGGATAAAGTACTTCAAGATTCCACTATAGTTCTGCACCCTGAATTCTGATCTTTGGGTGCTACTTAAACTTCAAAAGCAAGGGGAGCTGGAAGGAGGGGCTGGGGAGAAATCAGGCCTTTGACACCGCTGATACATGAAACCTCCAGCTATTCTCTCCTTCCGGGGGGGGATCTGGTTGCTGCGGGGCAATGTGCTGTGGTGATCTACTTGGAGACCGAAATTTTGCCAACTCAATGCCTGAAAATCTATTTCAGTCCTCCCCATTCTAAATTAACTGCTCTTATTAGGAGTGCAATTATTATGAGTTTGAGGAACCTGTTGTTTTGGGCTTTTTGTTTGGGTTTTTTTGTTGTTGTTTGTTTAAGAGTTAGGCATCCACACAATATTTTCAGAAAAAGATCTGTAAGCAAGCATGAGCTGTTGTATGAAGCTAAGCGACATCTGCAGCAACAGCAGACTGTTACAGGCAGCAAGCCACAACACACCTTGAGTTTTATGCATCATCTGAGAGAACCTGAATCTAAAGGAGCTGTTCTACTATAGTGACCACTAAGGACACAAAGATTCATGACCTACGGTACCACAGTGGAACACACTGCGAAAAAATACCAACTAAAAATAGATTCCCTGTCTCAGACAATTTACAGTCTAAATAGATACATCTGAAGAAATGTCCGTATAACTACAGACAGACAAGGAAGCACAAAAAATGGTAAGACTGTGTTAGCTAACATGGTAACACTGGTCTTAAGACAACAATGATCCAATCTTTCAGAAATGTAGGAAGACCTTAGGCTAGGGCTCAGGGGCCTTGGTTTTACGCAGGTGTTGATCGATTGCCTAATACGAACATTAACAACAGAGGAAAGATGGGTGAGAAAGGAAGCATCAGTAGCCTTTCCCTTCCTCAATTCTCTTTCACTACTGCCGACACATTCTGTCCTCAGAAATTATCCTGCGTGGAATCCATAAAATTTCAGCTACTTGCATCTGTGTTCACTGGCTCGTGTCATTTGCCATTGCCTTTTAACGACGCAGATACTGCTGAGCCACGTCTGCTTCAGTCAGCTGTACCCACAGCTGAAAGGATGCAGCAGTCCTGCTGGCAAAAGAACAGATGCTGCAGCTCTAGCATTGTTCAGCGTCCTTTGTTAAGTATTATTGCTTTCTTTTTCTCTTTCTTATTAACTGTCATCTGAAAATCTGTTACTATTCCCTGTGCTATTATCAAGTCATGGATAGACTGCGCCAGACTTGAAGGAAAAACACAGCCTCCGAGTTGCACTAACAATCACAATATCGTATTAATTTTTCTAGGCACAGGAAGTGCGGAACTTTGGAAGCTCTCGGTATTTTCTGTGCAGTACAATATCCCTCATGATTTCCCTCCGAAGCAGGTAGCGCTGTATCGGCTTTAGGGACAGAGAAACAGAGCAATTCAACACCAGGCAGGAAGCCTGCATCAGAGCTGGGAACAGAACCCAGGTTTCCTGGCTCCTTGTTCTTAACAAGAACGCCCTCCCTTTCCCAAATGATAACACAAGGGTGATAATGAATATGAGGACCAGTTTATCATCTATTTACTAAGGAGCAAACCCAAAGTCTGATGGTATGAATCTCTTGTGTTGTAAATCAAGACCGAGTCCACTGCAGTCAAGGGAGTTACTCTGGGTAAGTGCATAGAGAATCAGGCCTAAAATACCCACAAACATATTTTCAAATGTAAAGCCAGTTATTTTGTGTTACTAAAGTTAAAAAATTCTAGCTTGAAGCAATGTGTTCTTCTTTCAAAACAGGTAAAACAAGAACAAGAGAGAAGTACCGAGTGGTTTACACAGATCATCAGAGATTAGAATTAGAGAAGGAATTTCATTACAACAGATACATTACAATCAGGAGGAAGTCTGAACTTGCTGCAAACCTAAGACTTTCCGAGAGACAGGTAGAGTATGGATCACCCGTTCAGGATTGCCTTTCGATTTATTATTGCTGATGAGGACATAACCGTACTGGTTAAGAACACAAAAACGCTAATGCCTCTAATAACCAAACAATGCGACTGGTTCCTTTGGCAGTGTAGGAACTCAAACTATCCAGCTGAATGGCCTGCCAGCCCCGTTTGCATTCATTTCTAAATATCCCATCAGCACTACTTCAGCTCTCGTAATGACATCAGAGCGCTACGCAACAACACGGAAAAAGCGAACACCAGTCTTACAGCCCTGTTCTGAGAAACAAGAGTTTAAAAATATCAACAAAATCCTGCCTCAATTGCTCTCTGTTTTACTGGGCTAGTGGTAGCAGGGAGACATTTTTGCCGAAATTTCTAAAGCGGAAGTCCTGGTTCTGCTGAAGTCAATGGGAATTCTATAACCAATTTCCCCAAGGTCAGTCTTAGCAGAGAATGGAAGTGATGAGCTCAAGTATGTTCAGGACACCCAAAGGTACTTGTTTCTTTGGCTGCCTTTTACCTTTTGTTAAAGATTTCCTACGTACTTACTACTCCTTTCTCCTGCCCCTATTTCCTCCCACCTTCTCCAAATTCCACTTCTGTTCCCACAATGTTAATCAAAACACAATCCTTTCTGGCCAAAAGATCTATACAATTTGCTCTGGAACCACTTCGTACCACATTCTTCAACCATGCAATTGAAGATTCAAATTCAACCATGAACGCTGTGCCACCCCCGACCAAAGCCAAGCAGGTACACGGCCTCTGGCCACCCAGCCCTTCAGCTGGCTCACGCAAACCACCGGGATAAGATGCCAAGCTAGATCTCCCACAAAGACACTCACAAGACGGGCTGAGCGTATGTTCGGTCCCATTTTACTTGGGAGTTCCTTGACGCAGTACACTGAAGTAAGCAGCGAAACAGACAATTAGAAGTTTTACTGAAGGATCTCCCTGAACAGATTTCAGGACACAATATGCTTATTGGCTGCCTTTTCTATTTGCAAACCATCACAGCACTGTTTTCTCAGTCAGTTTATACAGTATCATTCATTGAAGGTTACGCCTGACTCACTATTGTTTTATGGGCTCAACTGAGCAGGGACAGTCCAAAATCCACCTAGTTGTAGCACTGTTCATCCACCTTGAACTTGTCTTACACAGCACACACTGAAAGAGCTTACAGAAATGGAGAAGCAAATATCCATTTTGCAAATATTTCTCAATCTGCTGCTGAATGTGAGTATTTCAATCGGGTATAAAAAATACACTGTGTGTCTTTTTGCTGGCTGTTAAAAGCTTAATAACTTGACTTCGTTATGCTGAATTTAAAAATTATGACCCTGCTTCTGCAAACGACCAATAATATTTACTTGAAACTTCCTAGTTCTGTGATAATTCCCGATAAACCTTTTTGTTAGTATATTTGAAGTGGTGATACAAAAAAGACGTGATACATTTCTTTGACATATATTGGGGAAACATGGCAATAGTTTTTGCAATATTTACTCTTCATCATCACTATGTCATGAACAAAACTAATTCCAGTGCATAAAGCTCACATCTCTGAAGCCACTTTTGAAAATGTAAGATTAAGAAATAGCTGATCTATACTCCCACTACTAGCCTTCCACACAAATTAAACAACCCCGTCATATGAATATGACTGAACGCACACTGTCCTATCCCAAGTTCCACTGCACTCAGCCTAAAACCTGAAGTGATTTTCTGGAAAAGCTTCTTTCCTGGCTATGCCAAAATCCCACCCAGGACACTGAAAGGAATATCTCAAGACAAACGATTGTTTAAACAAGGAAGGAAAGATGCAATATCTAATGAAAAAAAAAAAAGACAAAATGAAGCATTGCTAATATAGGAAGGACACAGAATAAAGGAGATTACTAGGACAAGAAAGAAGAGACAAAATTAGACTTCAGGTGAAGAGTTACTTGCACAACAACTGAACAGTGGAAAAAAAATACTGAAAAGAAAGAGGGCAGCAGGTGAAGAACAAGCCAGACAGATGCGACCGACCATATTAGCTTTTAGTCTAACGTTACAGATCTGTATTTATGTGCAGTTGTTTGATAATTGGCTTATGACCTTGAAGTGCCTACTGAAATTCTCACTGGATCACTGCTGCAGATCTGCATCCCTAGTTCAATAACAAAGCAGAACAAAAAAACTAAATTCAAAGGCAGGTAAGAACACTGAAGCCAGAGGGTAATTCTGAAACAGATGTTTGGATTTTAGACTCTTTGGCAGTTATTTTGGCAAATGCATGGATGAAACTAGATTACCTCAGCACAATCAGAATGCCAGAGATCTGGGAGTCTTTGAGACTGGTTTAATGGAACATAATTTGGTGCTGAAATGATATTCCAGAAACTAAGAGAGCAAAATGAACTGCCGGATGTCTCAGATGATAGCCTGGGACACACGAGGCCTAGTTCAAATTTCCACAAGCTTTGCATGTATCTGAATTCTTCAACTGTAAAATGGGAATAATGAAGCCTCAAGGATAAGTACACTGAGACCGTAACAGAGACTCCTTAAGATGTTTTGTGGGACTTCACCACTGGTTTTCTTTTAAAACAGAACCTAGTAGCCGCAGATGTTATCACCTCTGACCGTTGTACCTCCTTTCTGATCATCATTCTCTTTCCCCTTCTAGCTCCTAGCGAAGGATAACTAAACAAATCAGTATTTCTCAGCAAACCATTGATTTTTCCTTGGGTTATAGAAAATGGTGACAAAAGTGTTTCCTTTGCCATCCGAACACCAACAAGAAAACACAACATATCTGAATGAGGTAGCTTGACTCACTACACTGCCTAGACACAATACAGAGCCACTTCCAAAGATAAATAGCTGGCATGCACTGCTTTATATCCAACCTTGGGGATTCACACCCCAAGACATTTCTGTTGCCATAGAACATTCACCCTTTCACACCTGAACAAGTTCTGCCATATTTTCAATTGACCATTGCTCACCAACTTCATCTCATGTCCTCACTTGTTCTGTCCTAATCAAAAGCCATATATTCTTCAATAGTTGCTTCACTTGTTCCCAAAGATGACTGCATTCCTGTGACAGAGCAATGACAAGGGTATAAAGCAGTGGACTGTGCGGGAAGCAGCAGCAGATTCTGGCTCCATCTACAAACACAATAAAAGGCACTTAGCTACTAAGGCACCGCTTGTACAATATTTTGAAGCAATGTTGTGTACCAAGAGTAGTGCACTGGTGAAATTCTGCTCAGAAGTGTATTTCCTTTGGCTTACGCATTGGAGCTAACCAATTAATGTGCAGCATCCAAACAGGAAAGCTTTTGTGCCTCGGTTTATAGGCCAGAAACAGGTTTTGACTTGCTCTGACTAGGGCATATAGTTTTCAATGTAAAGATACTCTCAGATTCTTTTGGCCACCACTATGACACATGAGATTCTGTTCTGTTAGATTTTGTACCAAAAAAAAAAACCCAAAACAAAAATAACCCACACCAAAGCTTATTCCATAAAGAAATACCTCCTAAAAATAAAAGTAACACTGAAAAACTCTTTTTATCAAACTATTAATAAATATTTTATTACCAGATAGGAAAGATTACCTGTATGAAAAACAAACAGCTCTGTTGTCTCAGTTTGCCACTGCCTTTCTCACTGGTCCTCATGCAATTGGTTTTACCTATGACCCCTGACTGTACACATAAAGGGCCACATTGCATTCTATTAGCAACTGAAAAAAATTTTCCTCTGCTCCTCTACAGGTGAAAATCTGGTTCCAGAATCGCAGAGCCAAAGAAAGAAAATTAATGAAGAAGAAAATGACTCATTTTGATGGCAGCAATCTTGGCTCTATGCAGAGTGACTCTGGCTCAGTGAGCCCGATGCCAGTTCCTGACCAACAGACTCATTCAGAAATGTCCAGTTCTTTATTCCCACCTCCACCTCCTCCGCCTCCGCTTCCCATGAACGGTTTGCAGCACAACGGGAACCTGCAGCAGGTAGTGGCCTCTCAGTGAGGCCGCCTGAAGAGCTACTGCATAACGAACACTATAACCTACCAGTACACGGAGCACTACAGTATGAGAGAGAGAGGACAGCGGTAGCTGTTTTGCAGGAGTCCCCAGCATGACACAGTTCTGTGCACATAAGCTTCAAGTACAGTAAAGCAAGAGCCACTTGCCAGGTCTGCAGGATAGCGCAAGTTCCCAAGGGCAATGGAACTGCTGTCTGCCAGGAGTCCTAGTTGCAGGGAGCCTCTGCAAGAGGATGCCATGCCGAGTCTGTGCCGCAAGGCAAGCATCCCTCCAGCCATGCAGCAGGTGGGTAGGCACTGGGAGGGAGGAGAGCTGAGGACCAGATACAGCCACTTGTTACAGTACCCTGCAGATGGAAAAAAAAAAAAAGCACAAAATGGGCCACAGGCAATACAACATTGCTGAGGCAGTAACGGCAGCTGTACGCAAGTCTGTCCCTCGTCCCTAGGTAAAGAGTATATTCCTTCTCCTTTGATCTCCACACAGGTTCCATGTACTAATCTCACTTTCACGGACTTTACACATGGATCTTGATAAATGAAAACCTGGCTTATATGTTTTGACCCACTTGATGGAAAGCCTGGGTCACGGTGATTGCACTCACTACATGTTAAGGGCAAAGGTCAGGGATGAGCTTTTTGCAATTTTTTGGTTTTGACAGGTATGATTTCCAATGCTCCATACACTGGTATAAACATGCACTCTTCAATCTTACCATACATGTTTCGAAAGCATTCTGGAATTGTGAATCTTGGCCCAAGCTCATTTTTGATAGAAAAAAAAAAAACCACGTCAGACTCATTTTGTATCCTAAAAGAAAGAGCAAAGCGGGGGAAATCCTTTTAAGAAGTGTAGGTATTTTAAAAAGTGGCTGCATAGCCCATGGATAAAGATGCAATAATTGCATTCAACTAATCTTAAATTTGGTCCAGCTTTCAGAGCTATTGTGACACTAAAAAAAAAAAATCTGAGAAGCCAAATTAATGGAAGACAAAGCAAACAAATATTTCACTTAAATATAAACTCTCGGCATTTTTTAAGTGGGTCCCAATTCTCAAAGTGCTGATCCCTTCCACACTAAGCAGAATTTGGTAGGTAATCAGTACTTAAGAATAAACCCGATACTTACTTCCTAAGATGACTAACAAGTGCACGTGCATAGCTTGTCTGCAAAGGGAAAATTTTTAAAGCACGCAAGCGATTTGGGAATTTATACCCTCATTGTCAAAAGCAATTTAGAAATTCAGGATGCCTATCCTCACTAATTTTCATCAAGGTGTCCTCCTAAATATCTCTGTCACTGTTGCAAGTAAGACTTAGGAGCATTAAGTCATTTAGGCACTACGTTCTTGGTTTTTTTCCTTAATTATAACAAATAGTACTATTAGGTCATCAAAATGTCTGTTATGTAAAATTACTTTGTATATAAAGAACATTAAAATAAATGACTTTTTTCATAATCATTTTCCAATGTGGTATCAGCTACTGTAGCAAGTGAACGTGCAGATTTTCATGATTAGTCTGTTATCAAATTGTAATACCAAATTTAAAAGCAGGGTGATGGTAAAAAAAAGCTTACAAAAAGTAAAAGAGAATGGTAAGACCAGCGTGGTTCAGGGAGCTGGCAGTTTTCACTATTTCTTAATTTTCTTTATCGTTTTACGGTTGCGAGAAGGACTCTTACTAAATAAGAGTAAAATTCTAACTTTAAATAGACACGTATTTACATTGTTAAACTCCCACTCTGTCCTTTCACAATGCTGCTCCATTTGCTGGCGGCAGCAGTTCGAAGCTTTGCATAGGTAATACAAATGAGATGAAGAAACTGCAACTCAAAGTTCAGCAACAGAAAGACTCGTACTGATTTCCACGTATTATGAAAAGCGAAACACGACGAACAGCACGTGGGAACAAAAGTGATTTACCATCCAGATTGACGAGCACGGCAACCAAACCAAAACACTGATCTCCCAAAAGAGATACCCATTGGATGTGTCCAAAAGAGGAATCCATTGGAAATACACAGAACAGCCATTCCGTCTACAGAGGGAAATGCTAGAGATACTTTACCCACAGTTAACACACACACACACATATATTTAACTTAATAGAGGCTTAAAAATGTTCAAGGAGAAAAGCATCCTCACATTGGCCAATTAAACAGAATTATGCTTGCATACTAGAGAAAGGAAAAAAAAAATTAATAAAAATTTCCAGATTTAGACTTTCAAAAGGTAAGAATACAGAGGGAAACTTTATCTTTTGTACGTATATACAATAATTTAGGATCTAGTTCCAGCTAAGTGCACAGAACCCTGGCCCCAGGGTTTTGCAGGATCAAGTTCATAGCTACCTATTTTAATCACATTTCCATGACATAATTTAATTTTGTATTAAAATTTTAAAAAGGAAAAAGAAAAAAGTTCTTCAAGAAGGAACTTTAAGAAAAGAAATACATCTGAACACAGCTTCTTTCTCTTTAAAATTATTTAAACATCACTCAGAGAGGGGGATCTGGCAAAACGACCTGGTTTATCTTGTTTACATGTAGAAGAGTTATTGAGGAAGATAAGTGACCACTTTGAAGATCTGCCTCATTTCTGTTCCAGTTTGCTGAAAGCATGCTTGCTATAGGTTGCTATGTGTTTCCAATCAGAAGTTGTTAAGTACACAAAATAAGGCTGGATTTTATTTGCAGAAGCACACGTTCAAAGGTTAAAATTTATTGCTCCAAAAGCAGTATCTATAAACCAGGGCAATACCTTAGAGATTATTAACCTTCTAGTTATGCCAGTGATTGTTTTAAGTAGTACAATTTTTTTGTAACACTCCCCAGCAATCTATTCAACTAAATATTTTCAACGTGCTTTAATCCTTTAAACAGTCGCCCACCCAAAACAAAAGAAAGCCATTTTTCTCTAAGAACCTTGTGTAGTGCTGTTGCTTAGAAGCCGTACTGTATATAATTAAAAATAAGAGAGACATAAAATTGGAGCCAAATCAACCGAAAGTATTTTGGTCCAACATGAAATGTGAGTCATGAAATACTGGTGCCAGTCCTCAGAATAATACTTACTGTCTTCCTGACTTTGGGTATATCATATAACCTATCACTTTTATCACATCTAAAAACTAGGGACACCAAAGCAGAGTTGCGGTGAAGATTGATTGGTTGTTAGCAAAGTGCCCTGAAGAAGAAAAGCATACCTTAGACTACATCACAAGAATATTTAAGCCCTTAATCCTAATTGTGATTAAAGGAACGATCAAGGTATGTCCAGTTTTCAGAGGAATTCACTAACCTTTAAACCCCGTTACTCAGTGAGAATTGTGATCTATACGGTACAAAAAGATCAAGAAGAACATAGCAAACAGGACCTTCTGCAAAAACTTCATGCAACTAAGCAAGATATGCAAATCAAAATGACATTTCTAAAACAAAAAAATTCAAATATGCAGTATCTGCAACTGCTTAGGGGTTATGCGATCATTAACGTACATATGAGAGCATCAGGTATGTGCTAGCTGCTACCCAAGGAGCAGATTCAAAAATATATTCATTCTGGATGTTAACATAAAAATTAAAAAGCATATTCCTACTTTAGCACCCTTATTTGGTTTGCGGGTGCATTACAGGCTTACTCCAAGCCAAGCTTTTACACCCAGAGGGTATGCTGAAATGACGCATCCTTGCGAATGACTTACACAGCCAGTCGCATTTTGGAGCGGCACTGGCTGTTACTCGTCGGACACGCTATTGTGCAAACCTCACTATGTAAAAGAATAGGCACAGGTTTTATGATTAAAATGTTCTCCAGCTGTTTTCATACTCAAAGAGCACAAATACTTTCTTGGACATTTTGTAATAAACTGTTCTATGAGATATCACAATAAATGGAAAGGCTTAATTAAGATACACCCTGCGTGCTCTTGGTCTTCTGAGCCACAATAAAATATAGTCACTCTCAGGACAGGCTTTATGTAGACAGTAATCTCTCTTACCGGGGAGTGTGAAAGAAGAGTTAAATTTGTGCAAAAGAAATGCCAGTCTGCCAGGAATATAAACCATGCAAACAGTAAAGGCAATCAATTCCTTTGTTACCTCATGAAAGACCACACCAAGGAACGTCTCAAGGACTCAATAGCGAGCACCCAACGATCCCATCTAGCTATACTCTGGTCAGCATGAATTAGTTCCAGTAAGTGGGAGCCCTACGCTACACGACTCGGGAAGGAAACCAAATAAATATCAATAGAGGATTTGCGGTTCATTTTCACGGCTCTGTGAAAAAGAATCAATTTAACCTGGAGTTCACATGCAGGCTCTGTAACTCCTGCCGTATTAAGTCTGCTTGTTGAGCAGCAAGACATACTCTTATTACTGTCAGTATTGATTTTGTAGCAGATTTTAAATTATTTCCAGCATGCCATGTACTGACTGACCTTTCCTCAAGATTTATACAGCTGACTACTAATTTTAGGAGAAATGGGTGTGCGTGCAAAGCCCAGCTGGAATAAAGGCTCAATAACACCTCCAAAATACTGCATTAAAACTATCAGCAATACGTAGTTCACTAACAAAGCCCTTAGCTAGCCATTCCATTGACATTCCAAGCATGCAGTTATAAAGGTACAAGCAAGAAGCACTGCTAAGCCTGATGTTTCTGATGTGTTATTAGAGTGGTCATCCAGAGGCAAGAAAACAAACATCTATTCCTGTCACCTTAGCCAGGATGGGACACGCTAAGCTCACCTGCTTTTTTCACCTCAGAAACAAAACCCCAGATAAATTTCATATACATTTCAAGCTTCAAAGATAGACAGATGTGTTTCTTCTTACCTCCATATAAAAGGAAGAGTAACTTTATGAGTATGGGTTCCTAATAAAAACTATCACAGGTACAAACACCTTTAATATAAGTTATTGTTGTAGAGACCAGTTTTAATCTACCAGTAGTCCCTGAAATTGCAGTTTTAATAGCTGTCATTAAAACATTTAATTGCACGTTTGTGATTATATTATTATTACCCAGTTTGGAAATGCTCTTTAGAACAGCACATACACCACAGTATGCCATCTACGTTGCCTGTACAAACAAAACTTTAATAGTTCCAATGGTTATCGCCATGCTTGCTATTATTGCTAGATTTTCATCAGCCACTTGTTAGAAAACTAGAAAATTTTCTTCCCCAAAGATCTCAAAGTACCTTTAATTTTACGCACATACAACTTCACTTCGTCAAACGCTGAGGCAACTCCTGTGGACACTGGCTAAGTGGATAAATCATACATAGCAATTGAACAGGTGGAGAAAAAAATGGAAAATTATAACCTTGGAATTCAGTTATTCTGGCAATCCGTCTCTCTGAAGTATGCCAAAGAGCACAGCACTCTTGCTGCCAATACCACACAGATCTTTCTTGTTCTGTCTTTATCGCCCACTGCAGAAAACGGCATAAACACAGACCTCCATACAGATGAGATTTCTGGATGCCCAGCCCACTACCTCAGACCTGCTTTCGCTTTCCCACCACCCCAGAAAGTCAGGAGAGGGCCCATGGTAACAGGACAATTCCACAAGCACTTTAAACAGGCCTAGACAGCACAACAGCCCTTCCTCTACCACCAGCCATCCCCTCACAGTGCAAATATGGACAAGGCAAGGGCAGTTCACTTTTCCCCCCCTCGTTTTTTTCTTTTTTGACAGCAATGTCCGCTAAAAGCGTTCCTGGAACTACAGTGTAAGTTACTACTATACACTGAAGATGCAGCAGTTCTGTGGCTCTGAAGCTGCTGACATGCTGGATCCCGAGTAGGAAGGACACGTGCACGGCCAAGAAATGACTCTTGGGAAGGCAGGCTCAGATTCACACTCAACTAGCTCTCAAAAAACATCAAGCCCAAAATTTTGGTAACCTCAAACTACTAGACTACATGCAAAGGTACGGTTCCTTTTTAACACATCCACACGGTTCTGTTACAGAAAATGGAAGGCATAAGAGTCAGGTTGCAGAAGATCATTTGAATGTTGCCATTTTAGTTATCTTATTCTCGCTTTAGTGTTAAAAATCTGCAGTCCTACCCAGCAATCTTATCCTGCTATGTAAATCTTTTTAAACAAAATGCCTTATTCAAAGCTTACTATTGTTAGCCGATATCAAATCAGTGTAGCAATTCGCCATTGGCGTATCTTGATCTAATTATGTTCTGGCAAGAATCGAAATAGATCTAAAGAAAATTCAGATAATGGAACAGGCAAAACAAGAAAGGGAAAGGAGGAGCATAAACAAAAGATAAAAGAAGAACAGAGAATAAAGGATAAAGCTCTGAGATACAAAAAATAGGATTAGGTGATAGTGAAATTGTGGGGGGTATGCGCAGAGGCATCCCATAAAGAGAGAGGAAGACCAGGGATTAAAAAAACGTTACCGTCATCTAATGCGTTCTATGAAATAAGACGTCATTCGACAAGATGCGAAAATGGTGTGCTTAGGAGTCAAACAATGCGTCTGATCTGAAATCTATAAGCAACCAATGTTCATTTGTACTATGTCAATGGATTTCAGAGACAGTCCGTGGGAACAAAACTTCACCCCCCTATGGATCTGCCTACGACTGACAGCTCTGCATAACATTGAGCAATACATCGGAATTTTATTGCTGGCATAATGCTCACAAATAGGCCAAAGATGCCAAGGATACTTCCAGCCCAGGAGACATACCTTGTTTAATTTGGATGACGCTTAGGGGAGTTCTTTGTTCTTTTTAGTACACATCAGTACTGAAAAGTCTGTGGGCTTTCAAAAACTGTATTACAATTCCTTTTCTTTCAAGATGAAGGGAACAAGAGTCTTCTGATTTTTTTTTTAATGTCTATTTTTATAAGGGTACGCCAATTACAGAAGGCCTTACTTTTTCCATGTCCTATCCCACGATGCAACTTTCCTCAACATTCCCAGGATCCCAAGTGTTAATAAAGACATCTGTATACATAGCAAAATGAATTATAAAGATTGTGCTACACTTCCCAGTAAAAATTCTTTCCTCAGGAAAAAAAAAAACCACCCAGAAGAGGAATAGCTTTCCTCTCTTTAAGTACACACTTAGAATCCTTTAGTGCTGGAATTAGAAGGGATGTGTGAATATGAGTAGTGTCAAAATACAAAGGATACTGAATGAAAAACCACACCTTTGTAAAGGGAAACAACTCATTGTAATTTGCACCTCTTTTGCAAGCATACCCCTTGACAAATAGCTCATTGCAAAGAAATCCATCCAAGATAAAAATATATCAAATTCACTCTACAAATTGCAGCTAGACAACCGTAGAGAGGCAATTCTCAAGTCATACGGTATGGTTTAGTTCTCCCATGTTAATATCAAGCTCTTAGTAACGCCATATAAAACCACCCTCAGAAGAATCCTTCTCAGTGGGAACGCTGACCTATAGAGTACCCATGTGTCAGGCGCTTTACAGAAAAGCATCAAGGCAGTTCTGATCCACTACCTTGATAACCCAGCTGTTTCTCACTGCTGATTGCACTTACCTAAGCTGCCACCACTGAAAACAGACCACTACACTGCAGTTTCAGAGGAAGGAACCCAGCCTTTCAGGCAGATAAAGGTTGTCTTCAGTTTGAAACAGAAGCCAACAATATTACTGGGCCTAATCAAAGACTTTTTTCAATACCTTTTACAGTCATTTTCTTTGTACTTCTGGCACCATCTCTGTTAGGAAGATTTATTGTCTGCTTTTTAAAATTTATCAGTTTGCAATGGCCACCAGATGAAGGGATCTCTTTAAATCACTCTGTATGGGGAGAGTGTGAACGTGTGCATTACAGTTAGAGCCTTAATTTCTGCCATGCTGGAAAACCACTTACAAACATCACTAATGAGGGGAAAATATTTGAGACAGTTACATTCCAGATGTGCTGTTTACAAGGTGCTCTGTATTCTGAAGTCATTGCCTTACAATTATTCAAATTGACCGTGTCCCTTAATTTAAGAAGTAAAAATGAGGGGGTTTGTGGAGTATCTGAGAAATTAAGAGAGTAACAGATTTACTTGTTGCTTGATAACACATAATAAAAATAAAGGTTTTGGACAAGAATCATTTGAACACCAAACATTGCTATTATAGTTACCACTGTCTTTTCTTAAAAAAAGGGTCTCTCTACTCACTTACAAATACAAGCAACTGTTGCATCATCTCACAGTACTGGAATTGCTGTTGAATATCAGGGAAGGGTAATAGGATAGATAAAAGTTCCCTAAAAGAGAAAGCACCAGAACTAGCAGAAAGGTGGGGTTGGTCAGCCCTTCATTTGAATGTAAATGTAATTATGAGGCAGGCAGTTAGGCTGACGTCAGACAAGATCTTGGTAAACCATTACCACCAGCACCTGGTAACACAGTTGATAATAAAAGAGGATGAAGTAGAAGATTCCAAGCAGAGTGGCATTATTAGAGAAAACCAAACACAATTATTTTTAAGCAGCGAAAGAAACTACGGAAGAACAAGATGTTGTGACAACGCATTTACAATCTGTGACAATCATGTATGTGAGCTCTCTCTTGGATAAAGAAACCAGCATGTATCCAGGATCTGCAAGGTGCAGCAGCAACAACCTGCCAGTGCAAAACTTTGTGTCTACTCCGCCCTATCCAGATTACATGGGATACCATCATGTGCCAACTCTGGACACCCACGGACAGCCTGCGGGAACCTGGGGATCTCACTATGGCCCACAGAGGGAGGACTGGAACGCTTACGGCCCAGGACCTTCCAGCACGGTTGCTGCTGCACAGATCAATGGCTCGTCTCCTGGACAGGTCTCCTACGGTTCTGCTGATTACAGCTCCCTCCATCCTGCTGGAGCTGGGGGGTTACCTCCTGTAGAAACAATTAATAC